TTTTTTGTCCTGGGTGTATTGTTTTTCATTATTAGTTGATTTATATCGTCAAACGTCATTTCCTCCAACTCTCTTGCTGATAATTTTATAATGTCCTCCCAACCAGCAGTTGCCACAAAGAGGTCCGTTATTTGGTTTTCTCTTCCGATTGATTTTAAATCCTTTAGATTTTTGTTCTAGCTTTAGCTACTTGTATTCTTAGTCATGCTTGTGCGTAGTCATAACTCGGAAGTGATAATTGTTCGTTGGCTTCTTTAGCTATTGGCGCCGCCATTTTAGTGTAATGTTGCTGACTCGTGGGTAATAGCCGTAGCTATGTATAGTCTATGTGACTTAACATGTAAATGAGTCACCTCAAAAATATAATTTGTAAACTCGAAAATTTATTTATTTAACCGAGTGGCCACTATGCCAAAATAGACAAACAAACGAAAGGTAAAATATGTAACAAAGATCATTGACAGCATGCAGAGAACAGGAATAATCGAAACAAGGAATTAGGAAAGTATTTAAGAGAATTGAAGAGACACATTAAAGAATCCATGTAAAATGTAACAGGAGATAACTGATAACTGACATCCATTAGACAGTGAGCGAAATAAAGGGTTCAGTTCGATATTGCAACCACCTGAAAAAGGCCGGAGCGTCCAAAGATGAGGACAATAGTCCGAATAATGTAAGTAGTGTACATAATATAAACAGATACTTTTGCTAAGTGATAGAACAATGCCACATACTGGAAGATCGAAAGCCTTGAGCATGTCCTATGCTGTCGACGAAAAACTATGTTATAAAAAGAATAATGAATCTAATCTACGAGAGGAAAGATTCATTATGCAAAATGGGTAGAACACTAGGGTAACAGAGAAAAATGGAAATAGGATATTAGCGCATGTAGACCGAGTTAAATTGCAACACGATAGTGATGAAGAAATGTATAGTGAGGCTAAAGGTAATCAAGGCAAAGGTGTCATGTCAAGGCAAAACAAATATGACAATGAAATCGAGAGAATACAGACGCTGAAAATGAAAAGTCGTTGGAGGAACACTCCCATCAAAAAAAGAAAAAGATCACGATCTCCTATATAGTGATGAAAAAATGTACAGTGATCCAGAAGGTAATCAAGGCGAAGGTGTCATGTCAAGACAAAACAAATATGACAATAAAATCGAGAGAATACAGACGCTGAAGACGAAAAATCGTTGGAGGAACACTCCTATGAATAAAGTAAAAGATTACGATTTCCCATAAAGTGATGAAGAAATGTATAGTGAGCCCAAAAGTAATCAAGGCAAAGGTATCATGTCAAGACAAAACAAATATGACAATAAAATCGAGAGAATACAGACGCTGAAGATGAAAAGTCGTTGGAGGAACACTCCTACGAATAAAGTAAAAGATCACGATCTCCCATATTTAGGCAATCTCTTTGGGAAAGAGGAAGATAGTGAGGAGACAAAACCTCCCAGGGGAAGTACCAGGGAAAATAAAGGGATAAAACCTCTACGGTACATAGGAATTCACTAAAACTATAAATAGCTGCAGCTGTTGCCCATTGGTATTTGAGTGCATACTACTTCCTGTGAGTCAGTAACAGTACACTACAATTTTAAATTGCGTTAATTTCGAATAGAGCGGTTTCGGTGTTCTTTTTTTAAGCATATCACCCCGAGCAAGGCGGAAGTGCTACTAGCACGCAAAGAGTTACAGAGAGTGAGAGCAAGAGTAAAGAGGGGTGTTTGGGGAAAGGATAAAGAAAAGGACAGGGATCAAAATCAAGTCATCAAAAGATTGACATTACATTTGAATGTTTGAAGATTATAGCTATTAGGGAAGCATGTAAAAGGCAGTTCCGCTGTCGGGAAGTGTGAGATAAAATGCTGTTAGAGGAGAAGAGACATCTATGTTTCGACATTAAAAAGTGTGGGACCGAGATGCCAACCTAGTACCACGCTTAAATCCATGCAGTTTGGGAACCGTGAAAATAGCTCGTCAGAGCAGTTGCCATAAAATACTTGTAGAAAAGACAGAAAAAAGCCATATCACGTCTGTGAGAAAGGCACTGTAGATCAAGACCTATCATATTGCATATCCGTCTCTGGATTTTGTCGTGGGCCTCGAGATGAACATCGAAAGCATCAAACCATATATGGTAGCAGTACTCAATGCAAGAAGGAATGGTTGATTTGTAGATTTGAAGTATGGACTCGGGCGAGTAAAACCTTCTGGAGCGGCACAGATAACAAACCTTCCTTGCGGTTGATGAAGCTATTGATACAATGTTGTGGTTCCACCTCAGGTCAGTGGAAAACGTGAGACCGAACAGGCGCATAGAGGCGATCTCGTGGAGTTGGTCATTGAGCAAGGAATCAGCCTGTTGTTTAAACGTTATTCCAGTGAAGCGAGCCACTCTCTAAAAGATTTTCGTATTAGGATTAAAGAAATCAATTTAGCAGCAAACAGTATTAATAAGTTTAGCCTCGCACAACTTAATGGCTCAGCACACGGTAAAAAAATCAAACTCATTGTAGTCGTCATGGATACCAAAACAAACTTGTTAGCTCTTGTTCCCCGACGAGGTGACGATGATCAGTCTTACCCCCCCCCCGCAAAAAAAAAACAATAGAATAGAACTGAAGAATGATTTCAGTGAACCTCCTCAAAATGGACAACACCCCCATTCTTTTGGAAGGATAAGACAATATTTTTATATACAGACTGTCTAGAATATATTTGCTTGCGTTTGGATTTTGTCTGATACAGTGTAACCCGGATATAAGAGACCAGGATATAAGAGAAACCCGGATATAAGAGAGAATTTCTCTGGTCCCAAATTAGAGCCTGTGTTAATGTATATAAAATAGACCAAACCCGGATATAAGAGAAACCCGGATTATAAGAAAGAATTTCTCTGGTCCCAAATTAGAGCCTGTGTTAATGTATATAAAATAGACCAAACCCGGGTATAAGAGAAACCCGGATATAAGAGAGAATTTCTCTGGTCCCAAATTAGAGCCTGTGTTAATGTATATAAAATAGACCAAACCCGGATATAAGAGAAACTCGGATATAAGAGACTTCTTCTCCGGTCCCGACCACTCTCTTATATCCGGGTTACACTGTACAGGGTAACCCGGATATAAGAGACCCGGATATAAGAGATATTTTCTCTGGTGCCAAATTAGAGCCTGTGTTAATGTATATAAAATAGACCAAACCTGGATATAAGAGAAACCCGGATATAAGAGACTTCTTCTCCGGTCCCGACAACTCTCTTATATCCAGGTCACACTGTATATCCATCGTCTGCAAAAGAGAAATTATTAAAAAAAAAAAAACTATTTGGGAAAAACGTTGTGGTTATGCAGTTAAAATTTTAGAATTTCTTCTGGATTTTCTAGTCAAAGTGTTTTTTTAAGGAATATATTTATATTTCCTTTTACTTAATATTGTACGATTTTATGAAGATATTTCTGTATGCAAAGAAAATGTCTTCAATAAATTGTTATTTTCTTATATACCTATCGTCTACGTAAATGTAATTTTTAAAATTCTAAACATCACAAGGTTCTCAAAGGCAACTTTATCAAATTAGCATTTGGCTTGATATTTCTGTCTTAAATAGAATTTATTCTACATTCATCGCTTAATATTACTTCTTAGAAACCAGTTTTCATGCACGTCAACACCAAAAATAAACGTTTCTTTTAATAATTTTTAATTAGTGGCGGTAGTTTGCTTGATTTCTTGGCTTCAGTCAATGTTCTTGATATTCTTTATTTTTCTATCTATTATACCAATTTATCCAAATATTTTCTTGCTGGACAATCCAATTTTCTTTTAATGTTTCACGAACCCACTTATTTTTCTACCGTTTTTCAAAACACGTCCTGTGGCATTCTTAAAGCCATTTATTTTTTGTTCTTATCTTGCTAGTGTGTTTAATTTCTTTTTTTTTTTTAAATTGTTTTCAATTCAAATTGTTTGCAGATTCTAAATCTTGGTTCCCATTACTCAGTAACTTTGTTTCTGTCTTGAGTTTATCTATTTTTTTTATGATTAAATGTCGAATACGATCCTTTATATAAATTAAAATAACTATCACTATATATTTAGAAATGTACAATCTTCTGGTAGCATCATAAAAATCTCGAGCTACCAAAATAAGTTATTGTAAATATTTCCATTTCAGACAGGGAAATAAGCCCGACTGATAGTTTGTTTGGCAAATTAATCATCTAGATGCTGGCATCATGTTGTTTTCTAGCGATATTTCTGGTAATACTCGCATAGTTGCACCTTGAAACCTGAAGGTATCAGATGTTCGTGTAAGAAGCGAAAAGATTATGTATAATGCATACCCCCCCTCAGAAAAATAACAGTAAACCAGTAGATGTAATAACACAGTAAAATTTTTTAGATTTTTCGAAGGTCGTCATCTGCCTCCCCTCAAAAAAAAAAAAGAAGATACATATACTTGCAAAAGAAAGAAAAGGACGATTTATTCATGAATATGAGAAAATAAAAATATCCATACGTCATTCGAAAATATTTATTGTACATTTTTTTTCTTTTGCTAAATAATTAGTCTTTTAAGATGAAAACGATCGCGCAAGTTTTTTTAGTTTTTTCTCCTACTTCTCCGAGCCAATAAAGACGCACACCCAAGCAGTTATGGCCGTATTAAAATATACTAACCCCGACGGAAATATAACATGAAAAGATAAGCAGACGATAAATAAATAAAAATGTGTTATTAAAGACGAGCATTGGGGAAAATTGAACGAAAGAAAAGTGTGGGAAAGAAAAGACGAATACAGGTTCTAATGTTTTCAGGAGAATCGAACAAAGAGGAAAACAAAGGGAACAGAGAGAGAAAGAGAGAAAGAGGGGGTGGTGGAAAGAAAGAGAAACAGAAGACAGATTGTTAAAACGAAAACTGAGAATTAAAAAACGGAAAAATAAACAAGAAAAGGGAAATAGAAGACATTTTTAAAACGAAAATTCAAAGAGAGAGGGGGAAAGAGAGAGAGAGGGAAAGAGAGAGAGGGGTAAGAGAGAGGGGGAGAGAGAGGGAAAAAGAGAGAGGGGGAAGAGAGAGGGGGAAAGAGAGAGGGAAAGAGAGAGAGAGAGAGAGAAGGGAACAAGTGAAGCAGCAAGGAGAAAATGAAGAGAGAAAAAGAGAGAAAAATGTACCGAGAAGGTTCTAAAGGAAGAAGAGAAAGGGAAAAGGAAGAGAGAAAGTGAAAGGGGGAAAAGATGAAAACGAAAGCGGGAAATTGAACAAGAGAGAAAAAGGAAGAAAGAAAGGAAAAGCTAAAAAGAAAAAAAAAGAAATAGGAAGAAAAAGAAAACGGGGAAAAAATAATAAAAAATGAAAGAAAGAAAATGAAAAAAGAAATGTAAGTATAAATGTGAGCTAAAAGGAATGAAAGAGAAAGGTGAATAAAAGACAAAGAAAAATTAAATCAAAGACGAGAGAGAAGCTGCCAAGAAGGAGTCAAAGAGAAAGAAAAGAAAAGTAGGAGAAAGGTAGATATAGAAACAGAAGAAAGTGAGGAGGAGAGAGGGTGAAAGAATGAAAAGAGAGAAAACGCAGAGAGAAGAATACGAAAGGGAAAAGAAAAAGAAAAAGTGAGAAAGAATGAAAATGAAAAAAGAGACAACGAAAAAGAACAAAGAAGAAAGAAGAGGAAAAAAAGAAAGAAATATGAATAAAACGAAGTATGTTTTATCGTTTAATATCCTTCGTCTCATCATTAGTTCGCTTTTCTTATTGGTATTGCGTTTATTCATTTCCTTTGCTTCTTCAACAATAAATAAATAACTCCGTTATTCGTAGCCAGTAGATTATTGAAATACCGTAGACAATGACAACAACAATATCGCTAATTGAAAACAAATGTGCCCACTTTGGCCCAATATGTAGAAATACATAAAGAGTGAACTTGTCGATTGAAGGCAATAGAGATATACGGGTAAACGTCAAATGGTGACCCTTTAAAAATACCATTTTATCAACGTAAGCTGCCGGTTAATGCGTAACAGTTAGATCAATTCGCCAAAATAGGTTTACAATTTCTGCCCGGAAAGTACGCGACTATTTGATTTAGAGGAAAGGTGGTTTCGTTCTCTTCAAAGCATTGCAGCCAATTCTTGAGATACACAAAATTGGATGGTTACTTAAAAAAAAATTATTGGTAAGTTAAAAAGCCTCCTACCAAAGAGGCGTAGTCCGAATGGTTCGTTTTTGTTTTTGTTTTTGTTTTTAAAGACTGTGCTCAGTCGTTAACTGGGGCAAAAAGAAAATCTTGTAAATCTTAACGCTCCCGAGACTGAAACTGCTATACTATAATGATCATAGAGAACGATTTTTGTCCTCCTTCAGTATGGCTGATGCTAACCTCCAGAAAAGCAACTCATTGCGCCTTCTTGAGTTCACGATTTCCAAGTGGAGTTATGACATTGAATCAACTGCTAGATCTGCTGTTAAGATTCATGGTTCACTGTGTCGTGCCCGGCAATCTTTCTCGTCAGAATCCATCATGCACATTTAAAAATCTGCATTGAATATTGCTGCCATATCTGTTTTTGGTGTTCCAGCTATATATCTCGAGATCCTTGACAAAATCCAAAGAAAAATGTTACAATGTTATCGATTCTGATCTGGGTTCTCGACTTTTGCCAACTTCCTATCGCCGTCACGTGGCTTCCCTGTGTCTTTTCTATCAATATTTTCATGGCAGCTGTTCCCTCATCAGTGGGTTTAGTTTTTTTTTTAAATTGTTTTATTCCCCTCCCACCACAGAATGAATTGTAAATATGGAGGCTAGTTAGGACTTTCATTAGAGACAATGAGGTATTATGGTGGATGAAGTAAGCAATGTAAGTAAGAATGTGTTTTGGTGATAGGAATATTTTGGTATGTCTGGGTCAGTGTTTGTGGGTAGCCATGTTTAAAGTTATAATGATGACTTTTCCTTGTCCCAATTCCCTTTTTTGGCATTGTGCCACATTTTGTAAATACTTACAAATAAATATCGCTCTCCTACTTAGGGTTTAGATTTTCTAAATTGGTATTTTATTCTACCCCCCCCCCCGACAAAGGATTGTACATATGGGGGCTAGTTAGGACTTTATCGAGATTCTAAGACATTATGGTGGATGAAGTAAGAATGGTAAGTAAGAATGCGTTGGTTTGGTACAAGTAATATTATTGTATGTTTGGATCAGTGTTTGTGGCTAGCTAAGTTTAACGTTAAGACAGATGAAGACCGTCCTTCTCCCTATTCCCTCTTTTGTCCTTGTACCACATTTTCTGTAATTTAAGCGGAAATAGATATCACTCTCCTCCTTGGAACCACGACCGCATGAATTTAACCGTACTGATAGATTGGCAACTATGTCTCATTATTTTGCTGTTAGATTAGCTAGATATAACCGTAAGTTATATTATAATGGTTTCTTTTCTCGCACTTCTTACCTGTGGAACTCTCTTCCGATTAATCGCCATATACTGTCTGTCTTAACCATATACATTTATTTCAATCTCATTCTTTTCAAATCACAGTAACTCTCTTGTGTATTAGTGGCATTATCGTTTTTCTTGGGTGAAATGATTTAAAATGGAGGAAAAAGGGAAAAAACATCTTAAAAATTGATCAATCTATATATTAATATCATCGTATATATACAGCGTCTAAACTTCACCAATCAAAATATGAGTTCCATCCAGTCACGATAAATTGCAGCTGGAAAAATTGTCGGCTGAGTCAACTGGATTTGATTGATTTTAAGAAAATTGTTTTTCTTTAATCTCAGATATAACGTCAGGAAGACCGTCAATTTGACGTTTTCGTAATGCTCTGATCAAGGTGTTTCTGTTAATACGTGAATACACCAAAACATGGAGCTAATTGTGGAAACCCTACGTACTTTTTATTTAAAATCGAGATATAGACTTCTGAAAATAATAAAAATAATAAAAAAATAAACTTACCTAAATAATTTGAAAAATACTTTAATGGAATTTTGATGTCCTATTGTTGAAGAAAAGATACATAGTTTCAGTAAATTTCTTTCCGTTGAGCGTCCAGGGTATGACGATAAACTACATCCGCATCCTGGGTATGACGATAAACTACATCCGCGTCCTGGGTATGACGATAAACTACATCCGCGTCCTGGGTATGACGATAAACTACGTTCGACAGCACCCCCAACCCAGATCTCGTGCGTCCTAGGTATGGCAATAAACTACATTCGCATCCTGGGTGTGGTGATAAACTACTTCCAACAGCAAGGCCTCTGATAATACGTTTTTGAAAAAAATAATGTTGCCAGCTGTACGTTTTTTAAAAAAATATTACCAGCTATACGTTTTTTTTTTTTAAAGAATAGTGTCGCCGGCTATAAGTTTTTTGAAAAAATAATATTACCAGCTATACGTTTTTTGAAAAAATAATATTACCAGCTATACATTTTTGAAGAAATATCATCATCAGCGATACGTTTTTGAAAAATAATGTCACCAGCTATACGTTTTGGAAAAACACTATTACCAGCTGTACGTTTTGGAAAAAATAATATTACGAGCTATACATTTTTGAGGAAAAAATATTAGCAGAAATAGATTTTTGAATAAAACAAAGTATTACCAGGAGAAAAAAAAGTTGTCGGCATTAAATGACCCATTGAGTTTGATGTGTCGTAAAACAAATCAAACCAAACCAAATATTTCTGTTGATTATTTTTCTTTCAGTCTCAATAGACAGTTGCGCTCACAGCGAGTACTGATGATTTAGAAATCTATTGGGTCTCAGGTACATTCCAGACCTCAAGATATACGATACATTGATAAAGAGATATAAGGAAAAAGTGTCTAGGAAGTATCCGACTCCTCCTGGCATGCTTTATCTTTACAAGAATCAGTATACCTGGTATTTATGGACTGGAGCTGCACGTTCTTCACATTCTAGCCTTGACAGGGTTCAAATTCATTTACACATGATATATTTTCAATATTGCAGATTGTCACCGAAACCCTATAGATTCAATGTTGCAATCCTTTTGCTACTTCCAGGGCAATTGTTTCGATGAGCTCTAATTTTTAGTCCGATCACTTCAGAACTTTGTTAGCTAAAACACGACATGGCACCGCCACAGAAGCGAATCACCCTCATTAACTCCGTATTCAAATTTTAAGAATAAAGTTCCACTCAGTTTTTTCACCCCCAAGAACTGCAACTTAGACAATTACAATCAGGATGAATTTAAACTCTGCGATATTTAAGTTAGATGCACACTACGTGCTTCATCAGAGCTACATACGGTTTTGCATTCACAATCATTCTCTTAGAATGGTTGCCAGCCAAGGCTGAAAAACTCAGTCTACCCTACTATTTAACTCATAGCTGGTAAGGGGAAAATGATGGATTTGTGTCCTTCTCAAGGAAATGATTGTAATCAAACGCAACTGGAATTCGAACTCGTATCTCCAGGTTCACGTTCCGAACCGCTATCCATTTGCCTAACCACGCATTAGGATCTGCGGTAAAGGGAGAATAAAACCGCCTGTTTCTCTTTTCGTTCTCTCCAAGCTTTATTTCTTCCCCTTTCGTTCTCACGCCTTCATTGTTTCTTTTGCTGTTCCATCACTTTAAACCAGCGTTACTTAAACCATGGGTTGCGACCCCAAACGGAGTCGCGAAGCAGAATGCTGGGGTCGCTAAAATTAAATTGAAACACTTTAATTTTAGTTTGTATGTTATTTTACGAACGCTCAATATTTAACGCTATGAGTCACGCATGCGCTGTGGGAATAAAAAGCGCGTGCGGCGCCGTTTCGACTGGCGCGATAACAACGGATGTATTTTCAGTCGAGTTGGTTGATTATGTCCATCTTAATAAGTATAAAAATAATAATACATGTTACTGTTTTATTCAATTGACGTTGGTATTTATTTAAAAACGTAGAAGATGCTTTACGTCTCGCAGTGTCAAATATTACGCCAAGGTTTAATTTGTGATGCAGCTAAAAACAATTAAATCGGTCACATTGATTTTTATTTTTATTTATTTTTGTATAATTTGCTTTATTTTTTGCACTTGAAACATTTACTTTGCTTCATTTTTGCACTTGAAACATTTACTTTGCTTCATTTTTTGCACTTGAAACATTTACTTTGCTTCATTCCTGCACTTGAAACAAATCCTAAAACTACTTTTATTTGAACAAATAATATAACTACGTTTTTCATATGTATATTTTTCCGCAAGAAAATAAATGATTTCTTTATTCTGTATTCGTATGAGACGGTAGTTGATGGCTATATATTGAAAACGTATATGTGTGTGTGCGCGCGCAACCATTTTCATAGAATGCACAGTTATTATACTGATCCTTGACAAAATTACCTTGGAGCGACACTTTTGATCTTAGAAGAATTTTATGTCTCTCTTCACTTCTTGACCTATCATGGTTCTCCAAGAATTTCTTATCCTTTGTAGCACTAAATAATGTTTGAACCCCTTTACTATCCGTCCCAACACCGCTGCTCTGTCATCCATTTAAATACGCTCTTTAGGAAAGTAATTCGCCATTTTCCTCTGCTATTTCCTCTTCAATATGTCCAGTAAATATCAGATTCCCTAAGACGTCTTTTCTCATTAGGTGTTCTATTAATTTCAGCTGTCTTTTCTGGCGCTAAGCAAGTGTCTTTTTCGATATCATTGCTCTTAACCTTGTTTCATTTCTCGTATTCATAGAATTCTTCCGTAAAACCACATTTCCGTTGACTCTCCTCTTCATCTGGGAGGAGATTGCTCAGTATTCATTAACATACAGAAGGATTGATATTACATAATAAATGATCACTCTTTTCATAATACATTATGTGTTCGTCTTTCTGCTTAACATTTTTTCATCGTCTTTATAAGATTTCCCCAAGGGTTAAATTCCTGCAATTGCTTTATTTTAAAGTTTCAAGTATGTAGCTCGCATCTTTTGCTAATGAACAAATGAAAGAATTAAGAAAGAAAAATGGGAAAGAAAAATAAACGATACAAAGAAAGTAGAAAGCGGGAGGAAGAAAAAAAAAGAAAGAAAGAAAGAAAGAAAGAAGAGAGAGAGAGAATTAGAGAAAAGAGAAGGGACAGAGTTAAAAAGAAAGGAAAAGAAAAAAAGAAAGAAAGAAGAAAAGGAAGAAAATAAAAAGAAGAGAGAAAGTGAGAAAGAAAAAATGGAAAAATAATCGTGAAAGAGAAGAAAGTCGGGGAAAGGAGAGCAGAAAAAAAAAGAAACGTAAAAAAAGAAAGAGAAGGAAGAAAGAAGAGAGAAAAAGAATAGAAGGAAGAAAAGAGGAAGAAAGGAAAAAAGAGAAAGAAAAGAATGAAAGAAAATGAAGTGAAAACTTAAGGAAAAAGAATAGTAAAAGAAATAAATCAAAGAGAAAAAAGAGACTAGAAAGAAAGACAAAGAAGAGAAAAAGAAAGAAAAAAGAAAGAAACGAAAAAAAAAAAAAGGAAAGAAACGTGAAAGACAAGGAGAATAGAAGAGGAAAAGAAAGAAACAATGAAAGCGATAAAGAAATTCATCGTTGCCATTTTTGGCCTCTTCTGAATTTTCCAGCTCGGCCTATAGTCAATGAACAAAGACAGATGGGATTTCAATCTATTGCTAGCAAATTATCCCTGATCAAGTAGCATGGCTGCCAATGAATTAGACACTAACAAGAAATTCTTGTATGACATCGATAGTTACTGAAAGAATAATAAGTGTTATTGACCAGTTTCAATATCAGATTTCAATGAGGTTATTGGGTGTAAACAAGCAGAAAAATGCAGGAAATGGTCAGACAGATTTCGACAAAATCCGCCACAGAATTTTCTCTTGCGCTCACATTGGGATCATAAAATTTGTAGCATATTATTATTATTATTATTATCATCATTATTATTTTTATTTTCTTTGATTTCTGGCGTTTACACATTTCTTTCCGGGTCCCGCCCAGGGACCTAAGGTTAGAAATGGCGCCGTGACACTTTCCACTGACAAAAAAAAAAAAAAAAATGATTACATAGATAAAGCCCTTCGTAAGGTGTGGGCTGTACTTGTCAGAACAATTTTCTGTATCTCCTTGAGGCATGGACTTCCAGGAATCCCTTAAATTAGTTTACTGGAATCTTTTCCAACCAGTCCTAGGGCTCCAACTACAATAGGGATTGTTGATGTTCCCATATGCCACATTTTCGCGATTTCTATTTCAAGGTCCTTATTATTATTATTATTATTATCATTATTATTATTATTGCTGTGTTCCTTCACGACATGTACTACCATGGCTCTCCACAACTACATTGGATTAATAGCATTGAATCTACAGCAAAAATTGGTTCCCTGTGTCGTGGAAGAAGGTTTTTCTCGTCTGAGTCCATCCTTCAAATCTACAAATCAACTATTCGTCCTTGCAGTGAATACTGTTGCCATATATGGCCTGGT